AAAAAGCTGAAAGCTATTTTCTAGAGCAATTGGAAATAGGTGAAGTGATTTTTAAAAACTTCAGATCACTTTGTTGTTATTTTTTTATTATTATTATTAGAAGGGTTAATAATAGTGAAAATTTAGACAGTAGAACTGGCGCTGATTTTAGTAAGCTTGCTATATTTTTTTATTTTATTAGATTTTATAGGTTAATCTTTATTAGATTTTATAGGTTTATTCTTTATTAAATATATATTTTATTTATTTAACACAGTAAACTGTCTGTGATTTGTTGACAAATAAGTTTTTATACATAAATAAAATATAATAAAAGCGAAGAATTCATTTGTGTAAATGCTAATAGGCAAAAATAATTGTTGTCCAAATAAATGAGATAGAGTGGGCAAGATAAAATTAATTGTTGAAATGTAAGAAATGTTGCTCAGTGAGCAGAAAATATTACTTCAGTGTCAAGCCATGTTAATGTATGTTTATTTGATTTTACTTTAAACACTTTAGAACAATACCAGGCAGGAATTTTACTTATTATCGTAACATTTAATAATAGTTTAATTTAAATTTTTTTATAAATTCAAACATAATTATGTTTTTTTTTTAGTTGCTTTTGTTATCACTTGATTAGTTTGCTTACTGTTGAAACATGGTTTTAGTTTTGTAAATTTAATGATATGAAATTTACTCTATTAATCATTAGTCAACAGTTAAAGAGAAGCTGGAACTTTACATAAAAAATGTAAAAATAATTTTGTTTACTCTTAGATGAGAGTTAAATGAGAATTGGTACATGAAACATCAATAAAACTTATATAATTACTAAGCTTTTAAGTCTTTCTTATTACCATAATTGATAATGACCATGTATATAAAATATTTTATGAGCTGCTTGCTATTTTATGATATAATTGTTCAATATTGTAATCAAAAAACCTTTTTAGTTCAAGTATTTTAGTTGATAAAATATCTTATTAATTTGTCGTGTTATACGTTATTACGTTATTAAGTTATCTAGCCTTTTTATAATCTTTTCTTTTTTAATTATTTTGGAGAGACATAGTAATGTGTGCTTACAAATATCATATGCTATGCGCTATTGTTACTGTGTTTTGTGTTGATAGAACTGGGTTGTTAAAGCAATTTTTTTAAGTCTATAGAAAAATATATTTTGTCGTTAACTATAAGCAATGATTTAATTACTAATAACCCGTATTACGGGTTGCTTACTGCTAGTATATAATAATATATTTAATAATAATAAAAAGTGGCTAAAAATTATAATATATAGATAAACTAGTTATAAGTGCTGATCCTCATCGAAACGCCAGTAATAATAGGCGACTCTGAGAAGATGTTTATTACTTTATCACTACACAAATTATGTTTACACATCAGCATTAATGTTTTTTTTTCCATTCAGAGGCTTTCAATTGTTGTATGAATACTTTTTGTTTTTGTTAATCTATTTTTTGTTTTTTAAGTTTTTATTTGGTGATTTGTTGTATATCTTCGTTCATATTAGTGTCAATCTATGTATTTTTTTTTTCATTATTATTGTAAGTACTGTTTAGGTACATTGTCTGTCTTATTTGTTTTAAAACTTTCCTCCCTTAATCTTTATTTTTGTCTTGACAACTGTTAAAATATGCTTTGTTCGATAAATAGTTCTCCTGTATTCTAATGTATTTTATTTCTTCCCTCAGCTGTTCACTGCTCGTGTGTGACCATTTGGCGAATTTTATTTGCCAAAGTTTTTAAATAATGAAATTGATTTATTTCCAATATTGATATTTAACCAAAAATTGCTAATTTGGAAATCAATAGGTTTATTCAACTAAAAAAAATGTTTTCAAATTAAAAATTTTTATGAAATAGTCAATAGTCTGCGGTCTAAATTAGTTTTGAACTTTTTAACTGAGTTAGTATTTACTACCTCAACAAAACATAATCTATAAGTAGATCAATTAAAACATAAAATTTAGAAGATAGATCAAGCTGCAAAAATAACTATCATGGTATTTTTGAAATTTTGTTAAGTGACCCTGCCCCTACTATAAATGCAAAAACTTGAATTTTTTGCATTTTTAGACAGCTGGGGCCAAATTTTCATCTGCACAGATGGGGAAGTTTTTTTTCGATTTGGAAAAAAGTTTTATTATTTTAAGTTAATACAAGTAAAAGTTCATCTTTTGCCATTATGCCATTTCCGAAAAAATGAAATGTGCTTTTTAGTCATACCTTTTTTTGCTTAACTAGGTCTTCTATTTTGAGTTGCATATAATATAATATAGAACATATAATATAATATATAACAATATATAAGTGCATATAATAACAAAACTTTCAATACTTTCAATAAAAAGTCCAAACTTCAAATGTTGGAAAATAAAATACCTTTGGGGCAAACATAATTTAAGCAACAAATAAATTGTATTTATTAATGAATATCATATTAAAAATTCAAAAACATCAATTAAAACATAAAACTTAGAATGTTTGAAAATGAAATACATTAAAGCCAAATATAACATAATAATCTTTGATTTGTTTACTTGGTATTAAGATACGCGACATGTATAAAAAATAGAAGCATGTATAGAAAATAAAAACAGAAATTGTCATTTGTACATGGTTAACTTGTTTATTCATACCAGGTTTTAACCATTCTAAAAACATACTTTCTTTAAGTTTTAGCTCAAATTTTTTAGATGCCAAATCCAACACAGAAAAACGCTTGTAATTTATTTGCATGAAACAATTTTCATTAGCATGGAGATTTTTATAGATGTGAGACTTTTTGTCCCTCTTGTAATGTTCAAATATCTGGGTCTTGAGATGGCGAGTAGTTTCGCAGGATGTAACAAGAGATCATCATTTGTATGTGCATCCTGCACATACAAATGTATACACTACGAACGATTTGAACTCTTAAGGAAAAGGATCTTTAGAAGACATAACAGTTACATCTTGCACATACAAATTTATACACCATGAACGATTAGAGCTCTTGAGGAATAGGATCTTTAGAAGAGAAGAAATTATTAGATTATTTAATTAGAAATTAAATAGATTAAATAATTAGAAATTTTCAGTGAGGTAAATACAAATTTAATATTTGCTGAACTGTAATATTCTTAAGCAATTGAGTTCAGTCTTTTTTTAGTTAAATCAGATTTTTCCCAAAAACGGCAGTTTAAAATAAGACAAAGATTCTTTGATTTTTGGTTGAGGTGGAGGATTTTGAATTAATCATGTTTATATAAGAGTCATATATTTTTGAAATTTGCCAAGATGGGTACATGTTTCTTTGAAATACTTAAAAGAGGTCGTTTATGTAGAGTTTAGTACTATTAATTTTAAACATTCTACCAATTAAGCATTTGATTAGATAACTCTGTACGTAAATGGAGTAAAACTATAAAAATTAGTGTGAAGAACAGAATAGTTTTTTTTACAAAAAACGGTAGTGGTAACTGAAGAATTAAATTTTTGCAGAGTTACTTTTAAAAAAGATATCTTTGAATTAACTTCTTGTTCCATAGTAAAAAAAAATAGAATTGTGTCTACTATTTATATATCTAAGAAAAAGATGTGCATCATTTTCTGACTGGAAAGCAGCACAAATGTCATCAATGTACCTTTTATAGAAAACTGGTTTTACATCATTGAAATTTTTGATCCATTAATATAAATAAAATAAACATTTTCAAAGAATAACTATATTTTGTATTGCTTTTTTTAACACCTTTACAGGTGTTAAAAAAATTTTAAATATTTAATTTTAACTGAAGATGATTAATGTAAGTCAAAAGTTTTGGTTTTTTATTAAAAAATGGTTTTAAAAATTAGAAAAATTGTCTTGTTTATGAAAATATTTACATGTTTGGTACTTAAAAGAAATTTTGGTTATTTATATTCATATATATATATATATATATATATATATATATATATATATATATATATATATATATATATATATATATATATATATATATATATATATACACACTTACTAAAGCGTGTTTTGATAAGCATTTGCTCACTTTTTGTGCTTACTTCAAGGTAAACCGTTTTTTTTCGAAAAAGAAGAAGAAAAAAACGAAGAATGATAAATAAAACGATTGCTTCCCCATCCCAAACCCTCAGTCGATGTAGCAGCACTTCACTGCGAGTCAGGCTATTTGTCAGTCGTTGTATGTACTGAAGCCCCCAGCAGCCGGCTATTTCAGTATGACGTCAGATTGCTTACCAAAGTACGCAATACTATTTGTATATATATATATATATATATATATATATATATATATATATACATATATATACACATGACAATAACTTTACTCCATACAGTATATAAGATATAAATTTTATTCTAGATAAAAATATACTTTTATAAATTTCAAGCGCCTAGATTTATATGATGCTTTTGTGATTGTAGAACATGAGATAAGATAACAACATTATACTTATATCTTGTTTAGTTATTGTTAACCTGAGCTTATTTCTCTTGTTCCAATATAGATTTCTCTAGATTCTAAAGAAATCTGAATATTAGTCCTGGATGCATTTTCCTAAAACCTAAGTCCTGTAAGGATGCATTTTCTAGAGTCTAGAAAATGCATCCTTAGGAGACTTCAATAAAGTTTGTATGCTGTTTAAAAAATCTATATTATATTATATATATTATGTTATGTAACATAGATATTTTAAAATGACTAAAAAAATGTTTTGTTTTTTATAGCTAATAAAAAATTATGTTAGAAAAAGATGTGTTGATTTTTTAATAAAGAATTAGTACATATGCTGAGGGGGGAGGGAAAAGAGGTTTGTTGAAAGCATACAGGTGCACACAGTGGTTTTGTTTCCTTACATTGAGTTGCATTTGATTTATTTGTTTTAAATGTTGATAAAGATACAAAAAAATAAAAAACAAAAATAAATTTTTAAAAAAACTAAAAACAAAGACAAACAATTACCAACAGAATACATAAAAAAAAAACCTTAAAAAAAGTTTCTTTTCTAAGTTCAATTAATTCAGCAAGACCCTCACTGCCAACTTCTTCCATTCCTTCCAAACAAAACTAAAAAAAAACTAAAATATATATTTACACACACACACAAACACACACACACACACACACACACACAAACACACACACATACATACATACATACATATAGGGGCTTCTTATAGTTTGCTGTAGAAAAGAAGTGTCATTACATTGAGTATGTGTTTACCATCACTGAACAACTTTTTCAAAATTGTTCAATGATGTTTTACTAATTTATTATTGCTCTGTTCATTTAAAAATATTGAGCACTATTTCATAGAATACATTACTTGTATATATATTTATATATATTAAAATTACTTGTATATAAATTTATATATATATATTCCCCATGCCTCAAATCATCCTTGTTATGCGTGCATAAAACATTTTGAGCTATCAAAAACTAACAATATCAAAAAAACTACAACTGAGTATAGTCGCAATAATTGAGAAAAGATTTTATACTTTTAAAAGTTTAAAATTTCAAACATTAAAATTCTAGATTTTTATATGCACAATTCATTTTGTCATCTATAAAGCCCATGGGAAAATCATTAATATTAATTGCTTTTTTAAAATGTTTATAGGAATAACAGCAGATTTTATATCTTATATACTAAACTTTGGTATTATCTATTTTTGAAGTTAACTTTTTTCTATATCACTTTAAATGGGTTGCTTTGTTTATATCTAAAGCACAACAAAATGGCAAAATATTTAAGCTAAGCAAAATAAGCAAAAGTTGTGAAGTTTGTACAACAGAGTTGTAGTTAAAAGTTGTGAAGTTTGTGAACAGAAAAAGTCTCACACTAAAGTGGAAATCTCACACTAAAGTGGAATCAGCGCATTAAAATGTGTGAAACTTTGTTAACCAGTATCAAAAATACTTTATTTTTAAAGGTAAAATAAGTTCAAAATTAACAGGAAATACTTCAGTTAATCTATGCTTCTGTTAATCCAACAAAGTTTTAGAAAAACGAGAATTCAAAATTTACATAAACTAGCATCAAAAGCTGTTGTTTTTAAAACTATTAGTTGGTAAATTGATGAAAATGTAATGAAACAGAAACATATAAAAAGGAGCTTTATTTCACTACCAAAGTTCAGGCTAATTACTGTTCATTGTGAACCATTGCTTATTACGCCAAGATAAAATTAAAGAAAACTCAAAAGTTTCACTCAAAATGTTTATAAAATCTTCTTATTAAAATCAACAAAGTAAAAAATCTGACTAAAATTTAAAGCAAAAACACTTCTTGGAGAACCCTCAGGGCTGGACTAAATCTGTTTATAAAATACTGCATATGTCTATAAAATGGGGTACATTGTAAATATTGATAATCCCTCATAAATCTTTATAAATAAAATAATGTAATATTCTTCTTGTTTACTTTATTTCAACAGATTATAATCTTAAAATAAAAAGTATTGCAAAATATAAAATTTTAAATCAAATGTCTCTACAACAAATAAATCCTTTCAATATTTTTGCAGGTTTTTACATTGATATTGATCATCCTATGTACAAGTCAGGATGGAATTGTAAAATGCAATTGACATAGAATGGGTATCTTTTTAATAAAATTCTCTATAATAGAGAAACAGTTTAGAATTGTGAAAAGATGACAAAAATTATCCACTTAATAAAAATCTAAACCATGGTAACCAAACCATGGTAACAAAAACAAAATATTGTTTGTTAGAGTAATGGAAAGATGACAAATGATAAACTCAGTGTCTGAGAAAATTCTGTTGTTCAAAATTTATTCCTTTATTTGACTTCCAGTTTTCATTTTCTAGTCAAATATCATCATTACAAGTACGCTAATATTACAATAACTCTGACTTCAAATAAAAACATGCATTTTGCTATATTAAGACAATATAATAAGCTTTTAAGTAACATAACTAAATAAAATTTAATTTACTTTTAAATTGAAAAACATAATTTATGATTTGTTGACTATTGTTATAAAACATTTTATAAACGTTATAAATATTAAAATTTTTTAAAATATTGTAGATAATTTTTTCTGATCCATAAAAAAATAAAAATTTTAATTAAATTGCATTAAAAATTTAACTTTCATTTGGAACTTCTAAACAGCTAAAAAGTTTGATATTATGCTTAATGAAGGACTTTAAATTTAGGGAGCCACTACAAACATGCATGTAACATCTATGGTTTTATACTTGTGAAATTTATTATCAGGCATGATTTGGAAAGGGGAATGAAATTTACTTAAATTTAGAGAAAATAACTGTCCTGGAAATATGCAGGCTTTTAATCAAAACTTAAACATGTTTTGCCTGCTGTTTTTTGCCTGTGCACTTTAAATACTATAAAACAGTTTTTTTGCTTAATGTGATATTTAAGCTAACAAAAAACAGTGACAACCTAAAGGTTGACATAAAAAAAGAGAAGTTATTTGGTATCCTTATGTGTATTAATTCCTGTGCAAAAATATCTCAGGAATAAGAAATACCCTTAAGTCACAAGGGCTTTATTATTTTATTTAAATCATATGAGTATTGCCTCTCTATCAATTACATTAAGAAATTATTTTTTTTTTTTGTTAAATAAATATTCTCAGTTTGCATGTAATAGTAATAATAATTGTAACATAGATGTTGTAGCAAGTTGAAACACGTATATGAGTTATATATGCCTAATGACAGCCTACATTAACTTTTTATTTATTTATAATAATTTAAAATTTTGTTAAAAATCAAAATTATGTTTAAAAAAATAATAGTAAATAAAATTTCACAATGTGTAACTATTTCAAAGATTTCTTGTAGACACAACATGCTTTTTTTGGAAATATTATTATATGCAGGCGCTGTTTTAAGGATAGACCAATTCAATAAAAAATCATCAATATGTTTATATATATACATATATATATATATATATATATATATATATATATATATATATATATATATATATATATATAATATATATATATATACATATATATATATATATATATATATATATATATAATATATATATATATATATATATATATATATATATATATATATATATATATATATAACAACAATTAAAATATATATACATATACATATGTATATATTTAAATGTTAAATTATTAATTTGATGAAGAGAATTTTCCAGGAGTCTCTATGCTGATTTAACAGTTTATAGAAATCGGATCTTTAAATGCATTTAAAGATGGGGCGTTTACCGCGTGCTTTTGGAGAGAGTTCCAATGGACCCCAACTCAATTTGTGAAAAAGTTTGATCTTTCCTCACATTCTCTTATGAATTGACGATCAAGCTGCTTGTTATGGCCGCGTAGGTTGTACACCTCACGCCCAATTAGTTGGTGCTGTGGGACCGTAAAATGAACTTCGTCATAGTTGTTGAAAATTTTGAATTGTTCGATTATATCACCACGCAAACGACGTTCTTTGAGGGTAGTTAGTTTGAGTACCTGCAGACGCTTTATTTTATCAAAATGGCTGATAGATGATATTGTCTTAGTGACGCGGTCTTGAACATCCTCAAGCAACTTAATGTCTGTTTCAAGATACGGGGCATATATATATATATATATATATATATATATATATATATATATATATATATATATATATATATATATATATATATATATATATATACATACACTCTTATATATATATATATATATATATATATATATATATATATATATATATATATATATATATATATATATATATATATATATATACATACACTCTTATATATATATATATATATATATATATATATATATATATATATATATATATATATATATATATATATATATATATATATATACATACACTCTTGCATGGTTTTCTTCAAGTTTTTACCATAAAATGTCATTTTTGGGTTATTTTTAATTTTAAAGACTAGAAAAACTTTTTATTATTATTATTATTTGATAGACTGCCTGCCTCAACCAGGCCCTCAGTTGATGTAGCAGCACTCCGTTGCGAGTCAGGCTATATGATAATCGATGTAGCAGCACTCTGTTGTGAGTGTGGCTATAAGATAGTTAATGTAGCAACACTTGTTGCTACATTGACTATCAACGTGCATATTTTACAGTAAAAAAAAATATTTATAATGTTTTTTTTTTTAAATAAAATAATATTCAGAATGTTTTTAAAAACATTCTAGTCTTTGAATTTGTGTTTTTATGGTTTTTTAAATTTAATTACTTCCTGCAATTAACTTAATGTGTTTTGTTATAAAGTAACCTTACTTTTGTCATTTTAAATACCACAAACAAGCAAAGAGCTGTTTTTTTTACCAAAAACTGTATATCTAAGCTGTTTACTGTAGAAATTTTACAACTTTGTGAATTAATAAATATTTGTTAGCAATGTGTATATATATATATGTATATATATATATATATATATATATATATATACATGATCTTTAATAAGAAATAAAAGAACGCGGGAACTCGTAGAAGACTGTAAGGTCTTGTCGTCAAAAGCCGCCTAAAAGTTTATGTGTTAACATTTTGTATTAATAGAATATTCTCAAAATAAATAAATAAACTTTATATACTTAATATACTTGAAGATAACAAATAATTAAGAATTGGAAACATAAACAAATTTAAAGAAAAAAAGAAAAAGGTTTCCATTATAAATACATAGATGCGTTATACAGTTTTAAGATACCGTTAACAAAAGTGTTAGACAACTATTTACAAATTGTTAAATTATAAATTTTATTAATGCAGTGTTTAATAAAAAGTTAAAAAAAAAAAAGAATTAAAAGAATATAGATTTATCATCTAATAAAAAAATGCCTTTTTTAAGTTTTTGTTTGAAAGAGTGATAGCTAACCTCTTGATAAAAGTCAAAATTCTTTAAAACTATTTTATTCCAAAGTAATGCTCCTTGAAATGAAATACAGTATTTTCCAGAACTAGTTTGATACTCTGATTGGCAAATGTCTATACTATTATGTTGTAAAAAGTATTCAGTTATTTCTTTTTTATTATACA